CCGGGCCCGCGTGTCAGCCGCATCTCCCCTGCACTGTCGGAGGCAGCGGATCGCGACCTCCCTGGTACCACCGGGCGCGGAGCCCGCATCGTCTCTGCCAGGCCTGGTGACGGCCTGAGTACGCAGGAGATCCGGGAATCGAGATCACTCGCACGGCCTGGGGATGGAGAAGGAAAAAAGGATTCCACCGAACAGCACAGCGTGAGCCCGGGACAGGGAGGAGAGCGGAGACTCCGCCTGGCACCGGGAAAGGTGAGGTGTACGGAGCTTCCTGGGCCGGGCGTGAACAGCAGAATTCCTGGCCTCACCACCAGCAGCCGCGATCTCGGCTCTGCCTGCTCGCTGGAGCACGGTCAGCTTTAGTTTCCAGAGCTCCACTGGCCAAGCTCTGGAAGAGCATCGGTGCCCTCACCCGAGACCGACCCGGGGTCCAAGAAACAGTATCTGGCCTGGCCCAAAGTTGGATCTCTGGTGGCCCGGAGCCGATCACTGGGGAGCCTGCCTCCTGCTCCAGCCCTCCTGGTGCGGATGTGCCGCTGCCCTTCGGAGCACCATGAAGGCAGGATGACCTCAGCCGAAGCAGTAGCGGTGACTGGAAGCGCCCTGGTGGCTGGATCCCCCGAGTGGCGCCCTGGCAGCCCCCGAGTCCTCAGGCGGCCTGGCAGGGCCCGGGTGGCCGTGGCAGCGCTGGTGTGGCTGTTGGCAGGAGCCAGCATGTCAAGCCTGAACAAGTGGATCTTCACGGTGCATGGCTTCGGGCGGCCCCTGCTGCTGTCGGCCCTGCACATGCTAGCGGCCGCACTGGCCTGCCACTGGGGGGCCCGGCGCCCCGTGCCACACACCACCCGTCGCCAAGTGTTGCTGCTCAGCCTCACCTTCGGCACCTCAATGGCCTGTGGCAATGTGGGCCTAAGCACTGTGCCCTTGGACCTGGCGCAGTTGGCCACCACCACCACTCCCCTGTTCACTCTGGCCCTGTCTGCTCTGCTGCTTGGCCGTCGCCATCACCCACTGCAGTTTGCTGCCATGGGCCCGCTCTGCCTGGGGGCTGCCTGCAGCCTGGCCGGAGAACTCCAGGCACCCCCTGCAGGCTGTGGCTTCTTGCTGGTGGCCACCTGCCTCCGAGGCCTCAAGTCCGTTCAGCAGAGTGAGTATCGGGGTCTTCTCTTAAGGGCGTGGAAGTTGAGGTGGGTGGTTGGCCTGGAGGGCCCCGTGAGGGGTGTGGCTGTTGTCCCATATTACAGATGAGAAAACCGGGCCTCAGAGAGGGCCAAGAGCTCAGTGATTTTAGGCCCCAGACTTCAGCTCGTCTTTAATAATAGTTGCCAGCCTTGGCAAGCCTTTTATCCCCTTGATACCAATGCAGCCAATGATCGATGGTAGGTACCATATTATCCCTTTTGTAGAGAGGCAGAAGGGCTTGCTTTGAGCCATGTGTTAGTGAGCAGCAGTGGAAAGGTTTGAATGTAGACACTCGGTCTGTGCTGTTCAAGAGACATAAGTGTAAGGCTTCGGACCCAGATGGAGGCCACAAAACACGACCAAAGAGGGAAAGAGAAAGAGCAGACTATTGTTGTAAGCTGGGATTTGGAAGGCAAGGATTTGGCAGATTCTCAGAAGTGCTGATGTTTACGCGGAGCTATAGTGTCACAGCCCCAGTGCTGAGTGTTGATCTTCAGTTGTCATAGCAACCACCACCTTCATCCCCACTTGCGGGTGATGGGACTGAGACCCAAAGAGATTTGTGACTGGCCCAGGATCATGCGGCTTCTAAGGATTTAAAATCTATCCAGTCTATGGGACTCTGGACTCTGAGCAGCAACTCCAGGCCTAGACTGTGCTAGATCAGCCTGGATGGAAGCTGGTTCCCTGTCTGTGCCAGGAGGGGTAGCTGAGTCACAGCCCCCACCCTTTCTTTGCTTCAACTCAAGGGAGACCCAGGGGAAGTCTTGGTACCTTCTTAGGGAGGGGAGTCCTGGGTTCTAGCCATGGCTTTGCATATTTGCTGGGTGATGTTGGGCAGGACTAGACCTTCTCTGGGCCTCAGTGTCCACTCCTGCTCAGGAGCAGAGGGTCAGTTTAAGGAGTCCAAGGGGATTCTTTTATCCCCCTCCGCTCCAGCTGTGAGATCTGTGAATCAGGCCTGGGATAAGAGCAGAGGGTCTCCAAGGTTAATGGCTAGACTTGGGCAGCCTGAAGGCAGGGCGTGTTGAAGTCAGAGATCAGCCTTCTCCTGATGTCTTCAGAGTGTGGGCCCAGAGGTCTTGTCCCCATCCTCCCGGGCCTTGAGGCAGGGCCAAAACCCAGTTCTATTTTTGCCCTCAGGTTACATGAGCTGGAGCCTGAGTCAGGCATGAGCTCTGGGCATGAGTCGGCTCCAGGAAACCTGACCATACAGGGCCCTCCTGGCCAGGGACATGAGGCTGAGGAGATCCTCACCTCCGTGGCCACACTGCACCTGCTGATGTCCAGTACTCCACACAGAGGCCCTGGCAGTGCAGGTCTGCAGGATGGACCGTGGCCTCAGCCCCCACCCCCAAGCCTCAATTCCCTGATCCAGGAGGCTGGAGAGAGATGTGTGTTCTAGGCTCTGAACGCCCTCTGCTATTGTTATACCTGGATTATCTGTCCTTAAAGGATGGACTCCCCACCCCCCTCCCGGTACTGGGGATTGAACTCAGGGCTTTGTGCTTGCGAGGCATGTGTAGTGCCACTGAGCTAAATCCCTGGCCCAAGGATGGACTTAATGATGGCTCTGACAACCTAGATGGTAAGGTAGTTATACTACGTGGCTCAGAGTACTAAGGAGGAATCTTAGAAAACTGGACGCCCCAGTAATAGTGAGGGAGGCTGGCTGAGTTGGGAAGGAATGAACTGGATCCAGGGGCTGAAATGGGTTTTGAAAAGGAGATTTCTTTAGTCCCAGGCCCTAGGACAGGTTCAGACTAGAATGTAAATGGCTGGTTCCAGCTCCTTTATTGAGAGCGGACACCAGGTGAGCAGAGGATAAGAGTACAGGAAGGAAAGGCATCAGGCATCTGTGGGTAGGGCCAGCAGCTTCTCTCTAACCTGGGCCAGTTGCAGGTTCAGGGGGTTAAATGAGAGGTGATGCAACGCTCCTATTCATAGAAAAGCTGAGAAATGGAGTCCCAGCCTTCTGAGCTTGTTCTCAGCAGTATCACAGAGAAGACTGACTCAAATCCCTGTTTTCTGAGTTGGGCTGATTGAGGAGATGCATTCAGCAGGAGAGAAGTTCTGCAGCCAAAGTGGACACAGGTGTGGCAGGGACGGGTCTTCCTATGGAGATCAGAGAGGGCTGCTAAGGGAGGAGGCATGTAAAGGTAATTGTAATAATGTAATCGTGACAGTGCACTTGCTGAACCCTTGCTAGGTGCTACACTGCCCAAGTCTTCATATGCAGCATCAAAGAATGGGCAATAAACTGCCAGGGCACAGGGTGCCAGCCAGAAGGAGCAGGCATGGGAGATGTGAGGATTATGCCGGGCATCAGGTGCTCTGTTGAGCACTTCGCATGCTCCTGTGAGAGGGATGTTATCACCTTCCCTGTGCTACGTACGCATAAGACTGAGACCCAAAAAAAGGGTGATTAGGTCACACAACCAAAGAAGGGGGAAAAGGGAACAGGCAGATGCCAAGTGACCAGGGTTCAGAGGGTCAGCTGGTGTCTGTGTGGAAAGCTTGGGAGTGCTGTTTAGTACTGAAATAAAAATGTCTTTGGAGCCTGGTGTTGGAGGTGCATGCCTTGATCCCAGCATTTGGGAGGCTGAGTCTGGAAAACGGCTTCAAATTTGAGGCCAGTCTGGGCTACATAGTGAGTTCAAGGCCAGCCTGCACTACATAATCCTAAATTGACAAGGATTTTATAGTTGAGGAAGTATCAGATGTCTCACGGTGGAGGTAATCCTAGGACCACGAGGATCTTAGGTTGATGAGGGGGTAAAATGAGCAAAAGCATTCTTGCAACAGTAGGTGGGATGAGTTAAGCTGATAAAGAATGTGTCCCTTCCCAAGCGAGACCTTTCTACTCTGTTCTCAAAGAAGCGGGACATCTTCAGCTGATGTAATCTTGTCCTTCAGTCACAGCCTCATGGGATCATTGAGGTCTCAGCTGTTACTAGAAGCAAAACCGGAGCTATGTCTTGTGTCATAGCCCTCCTGTAGTCAAGAAGACAAGGCCTAATCGTGATTGAATTGTGAAGAATTATGTAGAATGGCTCCCGACAGGAGGGTTTGGTGCTGGCCAGGGAGGGATCCACTAAGAGGCAGAAAGACGGGGATATTTGGGGGGTGAGTCGCTTCTGATGGCATCACAGCGCTCAGGTGGGAAGCAGGGTGTGCAGGCGGCTGGATGCGAAGTTAGGTGGGGCTCCCTGGGAAGATGAGATTCACCAGAGGTAAAGTTCGCCAGCAAACCAAAGCCTTCCCATGTTAGAAGTGTTAATGTGCCGACCATAGGGAGTGTAAGGACACTATATTTGGAGTGGGAGGCGTTCTAATTATCTGTTCATTTCTAGAAAAGCTTGAGCCGAGCCTGTTGCCTAGAGAACAAAGCCAAAACATCAGAATGAAATTGAGAAAGGACTAACGTTTCCTATTCTAAGCATAGCCTGTGACTAAGCACCTCTACGGCTCTTTGGAAAGTGTGTGTCAGTAAATGCAGAGGCTCTCGGCCCGGGTGGGGACCTGCTTATCTCTCTCCTCTGACTTGCGGAGAAGGCCCCAAACCGTGGCAGGCTTCGCGGTACCTGGGCTGTGTCTGATGGCTCCTTTGCCAAGTGCCCAGTGGAAGCATCCACACGGTCACACCTGTGGCATAGTGGCAGGCTCGCCTCTGTCCTTGAAAAGCTGAAAGGTCTCCTCTCAGTCCTAGATTGAACTGGACGAGCTGCAGTGTGAGTAGCAAGCAGGGACAGTGATCGGTCATCAGCCGGTAAACAATGAGTGACAGCCAAGAGCCAAAGAGGACTTTCTTGCGCCCTTGTCACCCCAGTGGTCTTCAGGGAACGGAGCAATGAATGGATTCACTTTTTTTTTTTTTTTTTAGGACTCACCTTTTGGAGTCAAACTTTTATTTTATTTTATGTTTATTTGTTTGAGACAGTATCTTGTTATGTAGCTCAGGCTGGCCTTGAACACTGCAGTCTTCCTGCCTCAGCCTCCCCCAAGTGCTGGGATCACAGATATGTGCCACCACACCTGACTGTTTTTGTTGTTATTTTGAGATAGGGTCTCACTATGTAGTTCAGGCTGACTTTTCATCGAACTCACAGTGATTTTCCTGCCTCTGCCTCCCAAGTGTTGGGATTACAGGTGTGCACCACCATGGCTGACCAGGCTTTTTTTGTTTGTTTGTTTCACTGAGCACTTACCTTATTAAGGCTGTACGTAAGTTATCTTTGTTAAAGCGTTAGTTACTTCACATGTTTTACTTCATATGTTTTACTTTTTATGGAGACATCAGAGGTAAAGTACTTATGAGCCCAGGTCACTCACAGCTGGACAGGAGTGGACACGGGTCATAAACCTAAGTGGCCTGTCTCCGTGTGTGTGTGTGTGTGTGTGTGTGTGTGTGTGTGTGTGTGTGTTTTGAGACAAGGTCCTACTGTGTAATTTCATCTTGCCTCTAATCTTCCTGCTGTGGCCTCCCAAGTGCTGAGGTAACAGGCATATGCCCCCACGCCTGGCTCCTGACCCCCTCCCTTCTTGACTCATGTTCTAAGTAAGAGCTGCTGACCCTACTGAGGGATCCCTGTGGGTTTCCTGGAGGAGCACCCTTGGGAGCCATACTGGGTGGCTGAGTGAGGATTGTCTCTGAACAGAGTCCTGATGGTTTACTGCCCTCGCTGCAGGTGCCCTACTACAGGAGGAGAGGCTGGATGCTGTGACCTTGCTGTACGCCACCTCGATGCCCAGCTTCTGCCTGCTGGCGGGTGCCACTCTGGTGCTGGAGGCTGGCGTGGCCCTGCCACCTGCGCCCACCGACTCCCGCCTCTGGACCTGTGTCCTGCTCAGCTGCGTCTTGTCTGTGGTCTATAACCTGGCCAGTTTTTCCTTGCTGGCCCTCACCTCTGCTCTCACTGTTCATGTGCTGGGCAACCTCACCATTATAGGCAACCTCATCTTGTCCCGGCTCCTGTTCGGCAGCCACCTCAGCGCCCTCAGCTACATGGGCATCGCCCTTACCCTTTCAGGAATGTTCCTGTACCACAACTGCGAGTTGGTGGCTTCATGGGCTGTCCGCCAGGGACTGTGGCAGAGACAGCAGCCTGACAAGGGGCTCTGAGACCCGGGGGAGGTCGTGAGTCCCACCTGGGACAGCCCCAGCCTGAATCCAACCGTGGCCAATGACTGTGGGATCCGTGGAGAGCAGGCAGCTGCTCCTGTGGCCAGGAGAGATGGGCACCTTCTGGTAGTTCTGCCTGGGAGGCTGGAACAGGCCTTCCTCCCTGCCCGTCTCCCCTTGTCACAGACCCCACCCACCACTGGATGGTGGGTCCGAACCAGGCACAGTCACTGTGCTTATCAGAGTAATTGTTTTCATTAATATCAACTACTATGCCAAAATTTGCTGGGCAAACTTTGACAACTTCAACGTGTTACAATGATGATGAAGGTGATAATTCTTGACAGTTGCACAATCCTTCCTCTGGCAGGGAGGGCAGCGGGGAAAGGGCTTCTTCCAGGGAGTGGGGACAGTCTGTGCCAACTCCAGGCAGCTGCTGTCGCCTCCCTCCCAGGCCCCCCAGTTTTGGGTCTTCCGTCCTTAAATAAACTATTTTTGCTTGGACACCTGTGTTGTTCCTTAGGGGTAAGTGGGGAAATAAAGCGGGGAACGATGGGCTCCCCAGGAGGACCTGCCAGGGTCTGTCCAGAACCCCAGCCCAGCCGCTGTCTGTTACCCCCCCGCCAGGCTGCCATCGGCCATCTTTTGGATGGCAGCTATGGGTTCCTCCTTGCTGTGCCCTGACTTGTCTCCTGCATCTTCCACGCAGAGGGATCTTTCTAAAAGACACTTGCCCTGTGGTTCCACACGGCTGTGTCGAAACTTCCCACTCCGGACCACAAGGCCCTCAGGACCTGGTCCTGCGGCCTTGGATTTCAACTTCCAGTCTCATGAGCACACACTGGGGGCATTTACTGGAGCCTTTGCATTCTGTTCTTCTGACTGGGACCCTCTTCACATCCTTTGTTCTCCTGGCTGCTGCTTTCCGGGTGTGCGGGGGGGACCTAAACATGCTGTGCTCTGTACTTTCTTTTGTTTTTGTTTGTTTGGAACCAGGGATTGAACTGTAGTCCTTGTGCTTGCAAGGCAGGCCACCGAACCGCTGAGCTAAATCCCCGGCCCTGTTTGTTTTTTGAGACAGGGTCTCACTATGTAGTTGACACTGACCTGGAACTCACTATGTAGCCCAGGCTGGTCTCACAGCGATCCTCCTGTCTCAGCCTCCTGAGTGCTGGGATTACAGGCTGGCGCCACCATGCCCGGCCTGCTCTGTACTTTAAAGAGGGCCTAAAGAGAAAGGGTTTTGACAAAAGAGGCCATGCCCAAGCTGTGGGTGCACAGGGTAGGGAATCTAGGTGGCCTCATGGAGGAGGGAGAACCAGCAGGGAACCCTCCAGGTTAGCCCATGGGTCTTGGAGGCAACAGGGTTCCCACGCAGAGAATCTAGTGTAGGAATCGGCCCCTCTCCAGGAGCCTCCTTGATGGGCTGCCCCTGCTCCAACTTTGTCACGTTCCCTCTCAGCTTTTCCTTGGCTCTGTGTGCTTAATTTACCCTGTCTTGTAATCCAGAGGTCAGCTGTTAAAAATAAGGACCCAGCCTGGAGCATGGAGACCTGGGACCCACAGCTCTGCCCACCTACCTCACTGTGCCTTGGGTAGGGCCCCCCCCACAACGCTCTTCGCCTCAGTTTCCAAATTGTGTCTGATAATCCCCAAGGGGAAGATTTGAATGAAGAACCAGTGGACAGAACCAGGGCGAGGAAGGAGATGATGGTGCTAGCTGGTTCTGTTTCTATCATAGGGTAGCCGCTTCCCTCATCCGGCACTTCTAGCTCTCCCTGAGAATTGTGCCCCTCTGTCCTGAGGATGCGGAGCTAGACCAGGCTGGGACTGGGATGTAGGAGGACTGGGATTCAGAGAGGGGTCCTTCCTTCCTTCGTGGAACCAGAATCTGAAGGGCCCTTGTGCCAGCCGGTTTCCTGGCCGGACTCCCTCAGCTTGCCTTGCAGGAGAGGAAGTGGACCTGTTGACTTGAGTCAGCCACCACCCACCCTCCCTGTGACTCAGAGATGCCACAGGCCCAGCCCAGTCCTTGTGCAGTTTGAGACCTCTGGATGCCACTCACAGACTCGGCCAGGCAAAACAGAAGGATAGACAGCTTTGGTTGCAGCCTCCTCGGTGACTCAGAACCCTTCCTCATCTGTGGGGGCAGTTGTCATAGCAAGCATGGGCACCGTGTGTGGCAGGGAGTGGTGGTCTTCCTTCTCCGAGACCCCTGTGATGCCAGAGTTTGCAGATAGTACTAAACTCTATATACTCGATGTTTTTTCTTCTCACCCGTACACAGATTTAGTGCCTTTGCTCTCCCAAGAATTCACCGTACAGTACCTGTCCGAGGGACAGCAGCAAAACTAACACGGATTTCTTTTCCCTCCTGCACAATTTTGCACATTTGTCCTCACTGTAAATCTTAGCGACCTCAGCACAAGTTTTTTTTTAAGTCTAGAACTTCCACTTTGTCAGGTAAAGGAAGCACGTTACAGCTTCTCTTTTGCACACCCAAATTGCCAGCATGACTGCTCCTGCACTCTGGCTTTGTTTTTTGTTGTTTGTTTGTTTTTGTTTTGAGATAGGGTCTCCCTATATAGTTCCGGTAGTTTGGGCTGGCCTTGAGCTCACTGTGTAGCCCCAGGTGGCCTCAAACACAAGGCAGGATCCTCCTGTCTTCCTCCTTTAGCCTCTCTATTGCTGGGATTAGTGCTCTTTGTTTGTTTGCTTTGTTTTTTGAGACAGGGTCTCACTGTGTAGTTGAGACCGACCTGGAACTCACTGTGTAGCTCAGGCTGGTCTCGAACTCACAGTGATCCTCCTGCCTCAGCCTCCCAAGTGCTGGGATCATAGGCGTGCGCCACCACGCCCGGCCTGGGATTAGGGCTCTTTCACTAAGTGAAACAAAGATTACTTGAGCACAAGAACTGTGATACCACAGCGAGTGAGTTGCGTGATACCTTGAGAACCAAAACACCTACTAAGTGAAGAATAATGAGCACATGTTGGGAGTGGTAAGGATACAGTGGGAAGATTCAGCCCCGGGGTGGGGAGCAGCAGGGCAGCCCGAGATTTCATCAAGCTGCTCAGAGTGGGTATCACTTTGAGTTTCTTATTTCTGGAAATTCCCATCTAGTATTTTCACGCTCCAGTCGACTACGGGTAACACAAATGGTGAGAAGTGGAATCACGGAGGGGCAGGTGTAGCACCAGCCCAAACGGTATCCCTGGAATCAGACCTGGGTGGGCACGCTGGCTCTGACCCGTGTGATAAAAGGACGAGGGCCCCTCCCTCTGTGTGTTAAGCAGGGCAGCAGCACAACCTAACCACACCCAGCTGCGGGAAGCTAAATTGGCAATAATGCCCAAAACGTGGTAGGCACTCAGTCGTGTCCCCGAGGCTCCTCCCTTATCTCCCTGCCCTGTCTGCCTTCCACTGTCAGGGAACGCTTCTGCCTGCACAGAGCAGGGTAGAAGGTCCAGGCTGCCCTCTCACCCTGCCTGGGGAGCTGGGGCTGTGCTGGGCTTTCTGCCATCCTGGACATGGGAACAAAGCCTTGTTTCAGCCCCAGCTGGCAGGGTGCCCCTCCCACCCGTCCCTGGTGGCCCTTGGATTGTCATTCTAGGAGAATGGGGCCAGCAGGGACTTCCTGCTCCCCTCTCTGCCCCTAAATGATCTCTGAGGCGCCAGAAACTCCGCCATTGCGCTGTTTGTGCTCCGTTGTAAATGCTTTCTGGATGTAACAGAAAGTATTTAACTGAGGATCACTTCTTAGAGAGCCGTACAAGGTTTTGAGCTGGAAAGAGCCATGATTCTCCATAATCATTTCTTAATAAACGGACCCTCAGTTTAGCCTAGAGCCTATGTAAAGGAAAAATTGGAAGGATTTGAGAGGAGGGGGGCGGAATAGGGAAGACTTGTTGTGGTACTCCAAGTACATAGACGGCAGTAGAAACTGGTGGGACAGAGTGGGTGTTAGTTGTATCAGTTTTGGGGGATAAAGTGTTTAAAACTTATAGGAAGTCATTACTTTGCACACAGCTACTCTAGTAAGTCCCAATACACTGGACTAAAATGGAGTCACCATGGTGTTCCACGTCACCAGCTTGATAATTCAGGCTGGCCTGGAACTCGGTATATAGCCCAGGCTATCCTCAAACTCACAGTGATCTTCTCGCCTTAGGCTCCCTAGTGTTGGGATTACAGGTGTGCACCACCACGCCTAGCCAGGATGTAGTCCATATTTACGAACCTGTACTGGGGAAAAGGTTACCTAAGGTCAGGCTAGGACCGTCTTACACACAGGTGCTCTTACCTGCTTCAGAGATTTCTTGGGACTTGATTATTTTATTCCCTACCTCTCTTAGAACAATGGAAGGAGGATTGGCCCTGGGGTGTTGCCCAAACTCACATGGGTGGAGTGGAGTGGTTTCCCAGATCCCATTGTGCTGCCAGTACAACCAGCATTTGGGAGGTTGAGGGCGGAGGATTCCCATGAGTTCAAGGCCAGCCTGAACTGCATAGTGAGATCCTGTCTCAAACAACAACACCAACAGCAACAACAACAAATAGCCGGGCGTGGTGGCACACAGCTGTAATCCCAGCACTTGGGAGGCTGAGGCAGGAGGATCGCTGAGTTTGAGACCAGCCTGAGCTACATAGTGAGTTCCAGGTCAGTCTCAACTACATAGTGAGACCCTGTCTCAAAACAAACAAACAAAAAACAACAACAACAACAACAAAACAACACCAAAGAGAGCAAGGCACACGCTTGTCATCCCAGCACTCGAGGAGGTTTAGGAAGGAGAATCACAAGGTGGAGCCCAGCCTGGGTTTCTTAGCAACTTAGTGAGATTTTGTCTAAAAAAAAAAATTTTTTTTTTAATTTTTGAGGCAGGGTCTTGCTGTATAGGTCAGGATGGCCTTGTAAATACTATGTAGCCCAGAGTGGCCTCAAACTCACAGTGATCTCCTGCCTTGGCCAGCTGAGTGCTGGGATCACAGCCTGCGCTACCACATATAGCCTTTGTCTCAAAACTGTGAAAACAGAGGGCTGGGGATTTAGCTCAGTGGTTCTGCCACCTGCTTCCCAAGCTCAAGGACCCGAGTTCGATCCCTGGTACCAGGAAGGTAGAGTGGGCTACGGATGTAGCTCTGGCATCAATAACCAGTACTGAAAAAGAAAAAGGTACTGAAGAGCTATCTCAAAGGTCACACTCTGACCATACAAGATTCTCTAACACCTTAATGGTTGGTTATATAGGGCAAGTTTATTAGGTGTGTGTCTCCTGCCATTGATTTCATAAATGCATGAATACCAGGGGATGGGATCCTTGAGGCCACCTTTCTTTGAGGACTGGCTACCATAACAGTGAGTGTTTGTCGCTTGCGTGACTGAGTATGTGAGGATATAGCCTGGGGGTGTGAGGAATTAGTGTGGGAGTTTCCCACTCTCAGTGGGATCTTGCCAGCCACACCTCT